AACAAATGTGTCTTCGGTGTCACCTCGGGTAAGTTCCTAGGGTACATTGTCAACCGACATGGCATTGAGGCCAACCTGGACTAGATAAAGGCCATCCTAGATATGAGACCACCCCGAAAAGCAAAGGAGGTTCAGAGACTAAACGGCCGCATAGCCGCTCTGAGCCGCTTTGTGTCCAAGTCGGCAGATCGCTGTCTGCCTTTCTTTAAAGCAATCAAAGGCAAAGGGTTCGAATGGACCCGAGACTGCCAGCTCGCGTTCGACAAGCTAAAAAACCACCTCGCTAGCATGCCGATCTTGACCAGGCCCGAGGTGGGTGAGGTCTTAGAACTGTACCTCTCGGCAAGCGACGAGGTAGTCAGTTCGGTACTAATAAAAAAAGTAGATCGGGTCCAACAACCCATTTATTATGTTAGTAAAATTCTACAAGGAGCAAAGACGAGGTACCCGCAGATAGAAAAGCTAGCGTACGCACTGGTAATTGTAGCTCGGAAACTCTGCCCATATTTCCAGGCTCACACTGTCATCGTCTTGACTGACAAACCTCTGAGGCAAGTCTTGGTCAAACCCGAGGTTTCCGATCGACTGACGAAGTGGGCCATCGAACTCAGCGAGTACGACCTCCAGTATAAGCCGTGAACTGCTATTAAGGCCCAAGCCTTAGCAGATTTTACCGCCGAATGCACGTTCAGCCCCGAAGTCCCTAGGCCGGTTGAGCCCAAGACCCCCAGTTCGGGTGAGCTCGGAGCTCCCGAGCCAACAGAGTCCGAACCCCCTGAAGTAGCAGCCAGTTTGGTATCTCTCCTGGTTAGGCCAAACGCGAACTGGGATGAGGAGCCCTGGATCCTTCACGTAGATGGCTCCTCGAACAAGCAGGGCAGCGGGGCTAGAATAGTGCTGTGCGGCCCGAGTGGCACGAAATTGGAATACGCACTACGCTTTGAGTTCGCGGCATCCAACAACGAGGCGGAGTACGAGGCATTGATAGCCGGGCTGAACCTAGCGCAAAAGGTAAAAGCAAAACACATAGTTATCTGCAGCGATTCCCAGCTTGTGGTCAACCAGGTTACGGGCGAATACGAAGCACGCGAGCTAACTATGAGCGCCTACCTGGCAAAAGTAAAGGAGGCTCTRCTCAACTTCCAGTCACACTTCATCTGGCAAATCCCGAGGTCAGAGAGCACTGAGGCCGACGCCCTGTCCCGGTTAGCCAGCACGAGTCACAACACCATGAGAACCGTGTACATAGAGGACTTACCTCAGCCTAGCATTCTCAGAGGGGCAAAGGAGGTCGCTCCTGTCCTTGAAGCAGAGCCGAGCTAGATCGACCCACTCGCGAGCTTCTTGCTAGACGGAACCCTCCCTGCGGACCGCAATGCAGCCAGGAGGGTGCGGCGCCAGGCAGCCAAATACGTTATAATAGACGAACGGTTGTACCGACAGTTCCTACACGCTCCCCTACCTGCGTTGCTTGCGACCTGCCGAAGCCGAGCTCGTACTCCGTGACACTCATGAAGGTCTGTGCGGCGGACACCTAGGGGGCAGAGCCCTCGCCCAAAAGGCACTTCGACAAGGATACTACTGGCCAACAATGAAGACAAAGGCTATCGAGCTCGTCAAAAAATGCGACAAGTGTCAAAAGCATGCCAACATCCACCATCAGCCTACCACCGAACTCAAATACCTCACCAGTCCATGGCCCTTCGCGCAATGGGGCATCGACCTCCTGGGGCCATTCCCGCCAGCAACAGGTGGGAGGAAGTTCCTAGTGGTAGCGGTAGATTATTTCACAAAATGGATAGAAGCTGAACCCCTGGCAACAGTTACAGCCTGAAACGTGCAGAACTTCTTTTGGAAAAACATAATATGCCGCTTCGGGTTACCTCGGGTACTGATCTCCAACAATGGCAAGCAGTTCGAAGAAATGAAGTTTCATGAGTGCTGCCAAGATATGGGGATTCGGCAGAACTTCACATCGGTCGCGCACCCACAGGCAAACGGTCAAACGGAAGTAATGAACAAAGCTATCCTCCGCGGACTGAAAGCACGACTAGACCGAGCTAAAGGGTTGTGGGCGGACGAACTACCAAGTGTTCTATGGGCTCACCGAACCACAGAAAAAACCGCCACAGGAGAAACTCCCTTTAACCTCACCTACGGCACTGAAGCGGTAATCCCAGCGGAGATCGAAATACCTACTCTATGGCTAGAAGCATATGACAATCAAACAAACGGAGACGAGTTATGCACCAACCTCGACCTATTGGACGAGGTAAGAGACCTCGCACACATCCGGACCGCAACATACCAGCAAAAGATAGCTCAGTACTACAACGCCAGAGTAAAAAAGTGAACTTCTGCATCGGCGACCTGGTTCTCCGTAAAATCATGGTGCCCGAGCCCGGCATGGGCAAACTCGGACCAAATTGGGAAG